GGTACAGGTGCCTCACGAAGCACAACTGACCCTCATGTGGGACACCTGTCACAGGGCCTGTCACAGGGCCCCAGGCTGGGATATGGGTGCCTTACAAAACACCAGTGACCCTCATGGGGGACACCTGTCACAGGGCCTGTCACAGGGCCCCAGGCTGCCACAGGTACACAGCACTGCCTCCTGGCTCACAGGGGATGAGGAATGGGGGCTTATGCTTTGATAGGGGAGGGGCTGAGGCTCTGGCAGCACTACCAACTACCTCCTGCAGGGAAGCAAAGCAGAGTCAATGTCATGGAGGCCCCTGTGGCCTGGGGCATAGAAAGGGCACAAAAGGGCAGCTCTAAGGCTCACTGGGTATAAAGAAACAGGAGACTCTTTCCTCCCTCCCTAAGACTTTCTAGAAGTCCTGAGCAACAGCTCCCTGAGGAGAACAGAAAAAAAAAATATGGCAGCGAAACATTTTTGACTACTCATAAAAGAGACCCCTAGGAATGACCCCAGAAGACTTCCTAGCCAAGGATGTAATTTCTGGGCTATAAAAGACTATTATCCTATGGCAGGTCGACACAGTTCACACTGATTCTCAATTTGACAGGACCTAGGATCGCACGGAAGACAGATCTGTCTGTGAGGGAATTTCTACAGCAGGTTAAGTGAGAGGGAAGACTGACCCTAAGTGTAGGCAGTCCTATGTCAAGGGCTGGGCCCGGGGCTGAGTGAAAGGAAGCCAGAGAGCTGAGCATCAGCACTCACCACCCTCTGCTTGCCCATGTACTTACAAAGTGACCCAAGCTTCCTCCTGTCGTGACATCTCGCCATGATGGACTACAGTCAGACTTACAAACGGTACAAAAATAACCCCTGCCTTCCGTCAGAAGCTTTTGTTACAGCATGAGAACAGCAACTAATAGAGGCCCAAGCTCAGGGGTGTGCAGGGTTCAGCTAAGGTTTTCATTACCCAAAAGCACTAGCTGCTTGCTTCCTCTTCCACAGTAGAGTGAAGTGAGACTTCCAACCTACATACACGCACATGGAGCCAGCGATACCGACTCCGACAAGATACACTAAGTATGTGACTGCTGGTATTTCCACGTCTCTGGAGGCCATGCTCCATCCGCCTTTGACCACAGACCTGCCTCCTTTCTCAGTGTCATTTGTGAGACCCACGCCTCCAGCACATTTCCTCCAAGGCCTCATAGAAAGGCTCTCTATGGGACCTGCCTCCTGTAAAGCAGGCTCAGCTCTGCAGACCGTGTCTGGACCAGAGGTGTGCATTTTCCCAGCAGCTCCTCTTTGACCTTTAATGGCACTGTTTGCCCAGCTTCCCAAACCATTAACTCCCACCTCCCAGCAGCCTCACAGCAATTAACGGAGGGCCTGCTCCAAGCTTGAGCTCCTGAACACAATTAAGCGTGACAGTCCACAAATAAGAAAGAACTGGAGAATTAATTAAGGTCTAAACAAATTAATTACCAGTCCCCAATCGATTCCGATGCCAGCACACGTGCTCCCGGGCTCACCTTCTTTCCTACCATCTCCATGTATAAATAGAAACCACCATCTCCCACATGACTGCTGTTCTAGACCAGGGCAGGGTATTGTGGGTGCAGAAAACCTCCCTAAGGGAGAGGGGTGGCTGCAGGGAGCATCTGGGGCTCACTTTCTGTGCACTCAGCATTCACATGCACACCAGTGCTCACACAATCCCAGATGAAAAGTCAGGGCAAGCTTGGCGATGCAGTGCTCACTGCAAGACACTGCACAGCCTGGCCACCCCCGGAACACAACACCTCAGTCTCTCAGCTCCAAAGGCAGGTTTCTCCGCAAGAGCCCAGAGGAGACACGTCCTACCCTCCTGGCAGGCTTTCACCTGGACAGGCATGTAGAGGAGCCAGTTGGAGAAGTGGGGAGCTTGCTTGCTTAGAAAGAAAAAGGAAGTTGTGGTCTTCTCAGGATCCCCATCATTTACAGACCCTCTTGCATCCCACTCCCTCCTACGACAGAGTCCTCCCATCACACTGGTTCCCCAAGGGGAAAGTGAACCTGTCACATGGTGAAGCCAGTGCAGAGCAAGCTTCTCGGAGTCACCTAATGATGACTAGCCATCCTGCCCCAGAAAGCAAGAGGGAGGTGACTACAGATGTTCTGTCCTGGCCAGGGCATGGAGGGACATGGTACAGAGAGACCAAGTGCAGGGTGCAGATGAAGGCTTTGTCCTCGCTGTGGCAATCACTGACAGAGGAATAAACAGAAGCCTCATTGCAGATGGGCCTGGGAGCGAGGAGGAGCAACTTGCAAAGCACAGGATATACAACCAGCTATGGACACAAGGGCCTCAAGCCCGCGTGGGAATGGCTGATCTTCGTGGGAGGGCTGAAAACTCAGTCCAAGAAGAAGAAAGAGGGGAGGGGAATCGGGCTAACACTGAGAGGAGCAGGAGAGAGAGAGAGAGAGAGAGAGAGAGAGAGAGAGAGAGAGAGAGAGAGAGGGAGAGGGAGAGGGAGAGGGAGGGAGAGAGAGAGAGAGAGAGAGAGAGAGAGAGAGAGAGAGAGAGAGAGAGACTCAGAACAGAGGAAAGGTCTCCCCTCCTGAGGGAGTCCCAGAGAGGTTAAGATCAGCTCAAGGTCACAGCACAGTGTGGGTTGGATAGGGCTGGAACAAGCCACTGGCAAAGTTCTTATCTGAGGCTTGTTCCCCAAGTCCCAATTACATCTCAGTGGAGCCCCAGAGCCAGTCTAGGCTGCCTCTGACCCTCCAGCCCTGGTGGCATAGACAGCCCAGCCACGGAGTAGCCACGTTTGTTGCTCAATTAGACCCCATGACAAAGTCAGTCTTAAAGAGTTATTTCATTAATGGCCCACGGCAGAAATAGCTAAGAGATCATTACAACTGTGGAGTTGCTATAGCAATTATCTGAGTTGGCTAGGCTCCACCAAGGGTTTGGTTCTGGGAGTTTATTAGCCACTGGGCGTGCAGGGGGTGAGGCTGCCCCATTTGGTAGGTACTGCACAGCCCATTCCTGTCAGTAGAGTCTGGTCTGTGGCCTCACGTGCAGCTGTGGGCCGTAGATGGAGAGTCCCAAGCCTGCATATCACACACAGGAGGAGAAGGTCAGGTCATGGCCATGAGCCTGGCTCTGACTCAGCGCTTTAGACTGGGCAGTAACAGCAGGAAGGTCACAGAACCTCAGACCCTGGGCCAGCCCCCACCTTTGTCCTCTGGCAAAGATTCTGAGAAGGGGACTCTGAAAGCGTTCTTAGTATTTATGTATCCTTCTTTGAACAACAAATGATGAACTGTTTTGTGCTGTATTTACAGTTATTTCTTTAAAAATAAATAAACTTCACAGTAGTCTCCTTTTCTGAAACTGGGTGGCACTTCCTGAAAGCCAGCCAGAGCTGTGTAACATCCTAAAGGTCCAACAGAACCTGTGAGTTAGCCAGGCAGTGGTGGCGCACGCCTTTGATGCCGGCACTCTAGAGGCAGAGACAGGCAGATCTCTAAGTTCAAGGCCAGCCTGGTCTACAGAGTGAGTTCCAGGATAGGGCTACACAGAGAAACATATCTTTAAAAAAACAAGAAAATCCAACCCCCCACCACCCAAAGCAACAACAACAATAAAACCCTCTGAGTTGTCCTGCAGCCTGAGGCCCCTCTGACAGTCACGTGAAGACTAAATATACCTCTCAGATGAATGTTTCTATATGTGTAAGCAAAACTCAATCTATAAAGAGATTAAAACATGTTATCAAAAAACTTTTATTATGGTTTAGTAATAGATACACATTTAAATTTACTTACTTACTTATGGGGGCATGTGTGGAAGTCAGACAATTTTCGGGAATCAGTTCTCTCCTTTCACCATGTACGTCTTAGGAATTGAACTCAGGCTGTTACCTATAGCCCAGGTTGGCCTCAAGCTCATTAGCTAAGGATGGTCTTAGACTTCTCATCCTCCTGTCTCCACCTCCCACATCCTGGTGTGTGGACTCCCAAGATCAGCTAATCAATATGGCTTTTACCTTAATTTTTTTTAAAAAAAGTAAGACATAGCCATTGAAATGTCAGGTGCTCACTTGGGCTTGTCCTGCACAGAAGCAATGCTTGCAGGACTCGGAGTCACAGATGCAATGTGGCACGGACTGCCTTGCGTTCCTGATGACAAATATCCGAGTCCTGGTTTTTACTGTTTGCTGGACAAACTCACGCTACCAAGATTGTAGATTTTTTTGGTTAAGGTTCATTATGAATACTTTTCACGTGCACAGCATGGATTGTGTTCTGTCTGCTGATCCATAGGAGCTGGAGATCCAGGTTCAGTCTCTCCCTGTGCTGGGCTAGAGGTTGGGTTTAATTGATAATAGTGCTTCCCTCGTATGCAGGGTGCCCTGGATTAGATCAACAGTGCCTAATGAACCAGAGCTGCATACTTCTAATCCCAGCACTGGGGAGGCAGAGGCAGGAGGGCCAGAAGTTCAAGATTACTCTCCATTACACAGCAAGTTTGAGGCAACTCTGGGATACACGAGACCCCATCTCAAAACAAAGGAGCAAATACACTACCTCTGTGCTAAGTCTCCTGGGAGTCTGAGGCTAGCCTTGGCCACATAGTGAGTGTCAAGCCAGCCTAAGCTACAGATTGAGATTTTGTCTCAAACAGACAAAAGGATAAGAATGGAGCGCAGCTGGTAGGATGTTTGCCATATGTGCTTGAAGCATCCCGAGCGCCACAAAACAAAACAAACACCCAAGAGTTTGTGCTGAAGCTGCATCTCATGCACTGAGCTGGTGGGTGGGTCCTGCATCCTTTCTTCTACCTGTGTGAATTTTGTTCTAGATCTCCGAACCAGGAGTCTGCAAGCATCAGGGAGATGTGATGTGGAAGGACCACCATTCACCCAGGTGCTTGGGAGTTCCCGAGACCTCCACCATACAGCATGCACACGCATATGCACACACGCGCACGCACACACACGCACACATTTGTGTGCAGATCTTACCTACTGCAGGGAAGGGTACAAATCTCTGCACGAGAAGGCGAGTGGCTGGCGTGAACTTGTTTGCTTTCTGAACCAGCACATTAAGGCCCACCTTAGGAAGGAAAGAAAACAGAAGAAGGTGCATGATGCTGCAAGGGTTCATGGGAGGGAGGAGTAGAGCTGGAGGGACAGTGGGAGGGGATCCCTCCAATTTCCCTCATACCCCACACCCCAGGTGCAGCCCTTCTGAGGCAAACTGGGCCTTCTGGCCTCTAGCCTTTGCTGACCCATTCCCTAGGCCCCACCCACCTCAGGCCACACACCTGTTCCCTCAGGACCAACTCTGAAGTCTACGTCTTTGTCACTTACTAGCAGTGGGACCCCAGGCAGGTGACTCATTATCCTTTCTCTACGTCACTGTCTGGTGGTAGAAAAAGGATAGTTATTTCTACCACATTCGGGGCTTGTGATAAGAACAGGTAGAAAAGGAGGAGCTTGGCACACAAGAGGACCCAGAAAGTGCAGCCACATGACAACATCACCTCTCTCAGGCAGGCAGACCATTGATCCTGTTTCCCTGGTATGTCTCTCCAAGCACTAGTCCTTGGCATCCCTGCCCCTGCCCCTCTGGGAGGGAAGGACTGCAGGTTTTTTCTGTGTATGTGTGGCACCAGACATTGTATCTAATAGCCCAGAGCACATGCTCAGTGAGCTTGTGGTTGGCATACGGGTACAAGCAGACAACTGGATGGAGCATTCAACACAGGGATCTCTGGGGACCTGAGTGTGGTTTAGGCTATCAGAGAAGAACTACCTAGAAGCTAGAGGAGCAGTGGACATGGAGAGAGAGCAGAATACCAGAAATCTTGGTATTCCCAGACTGAGGCCTAACCAGCCCTTCCCTGATGGTCCATCCCAGGAAGAGGAGGCAGTGAGGACCATGGCAAGATCTAGCCTGCTCTCAGCTCTGGACTCCTGCTGGCTAATCAGGCTACTCTGTGTTCCTAGACTGGTTCTATACTTAGCCTTTTAGGTTGTTGGGGCTTTGGGAACCCTCTATCAGGGAGATAGACCGCCTGCAGTAGAACAGGACCGGCTGGGCCCAGGCTCCAGTGGAGGGATATGGGACAAGGGTGTGCCAGCTAATCATCCCTTAGGCAGCCAGCAACTTCCAGCCTCAGCTGTCAGTGTGGCATGTATATCCTAACTCTCATGGTGATGTTCAGAGCCCTTGTCCCTGTCCCTGCTGCTTGCCTGAGGGCAGCTGAGTGGCAGGAACTGAATAACAGAATCTCCATATTTTGGTGACACACCAGGGCCTTTCTGAAGGCCCCTGACCATCTCGGGAACCGCTCAGACAGAGCTTACAGAGTCAGGTATCCCCAGCTCTCTGCAATGAGCGACTCAGACATGGCCTCCTGAGCACCATAACCTAACTGCAGAGGAAAAGCATGGAGGTCACAGCAAGGGTCTAGGGATCTCACATGTGCTACCAACACTTTTGCTTGCAAGAGCTTTTATATTCTGCAGTGCTGGGGGTGAGCCTAGGATGCTTGGCATCCTGCGACGCCTGGGCAAGGGCTCTATGTGCTACGTCCCAGCTGCCACACACACTATCTTAATAAAAGCCCCTTTCTACTAAGAAGAAGCAGGCTCAGAGGACTAGTAACTTTGTCAAGGATAGACAGTTATCTCATGGCAGCTAAAGTTAGGATTTGAACCCGAGGCCTGCTGATTCCAAAGTTTCACACCCACTTGGCAACTGGCCTCTGTGATAGTTAATACCATTGACTTGACAGAATCTAAAATCACCTAGGAAATAATCCTCTGAGTATGTCTGTAAGGGAGTTTCTAGACTGGGTTAACCAAGGTAGGAAGAGCCACCCTAAACATTTGCCAGGGTGCTAGACCCCATAAAAAGGAGAAAGCAGGCTGAGCCCCAGCCTTCATCTTGCTTTTCTTCACATTGTGGATACAATGTGACAAGCCACCACCACGTTACCATGCCTTCCCTGCCGTGATACACAGTACCTTCACTGTGAGCTTCCTTAGGTTGCTCCTTGTAGGTCTTGGATCACAGCAATGGGAAAGCAACTAGCACAGCCTCCTTCTCAAGAAGCAACTTTAACCACAGACCATGTGCATAACATGGGACCCCTGACAAAGGCCATTAGGGGTTGGGGTCCAGGTGATGTATAAATGGGAAGCAGCAGCTGACCTGGCAGGTGGCAGGCCTAGACACAGATAGATGCCAAACACATCTTACATACATACAGAAAGATGATGAAGTATTGAAGGTATTGGAAGCAGGAGTGGGGGAAAGGAACAAGGAGGGCCAAGCTTCTCCAAGGCTGGCAGCCTCCTGGGACTGGGCAGAGCTCAAGTGCAGGGGGTTGGGGGTTGGGGGTTGGGGAGAGACTAGAAACTATTGTTTGTAGCCAACACTGAGACTTTCTGTGCCAGCCTGAAGCTGACCCCTCCCTGGCTGGCTATTCTCCCCCACTGGCTTGGTCTACCACTGTCTTGAAGGGGTGGCCTAGCTAGTTTGCTGCATGCCAATTGAGAACCTAGCCTGAGGATGGCCCGAGTCTCCAGTGAGCCATAGGAAACTAGTCTTCTCTTTCTTCAGGTCTCTCACCAGCGGCTCTGACCTGACAATCACCTTGGAGGCAAGTGGTCACAGAAGGCCCCTTGCCTCCTCCAGGCAGTGGCTGCTGTCCCACAGGTCCTGAGCTTCAGCATGGCCATATTAGGAATTCGTGTGCAAATTTCTACCTTGTTTGTTTTCCCCCTCTGCCCAAATGGAGCCCCTGTTTGGTTAATTTCTGTTTTGTAGCTTATTTGGAGGCTGTTAAGGCAGACCCCGGGGGACTCTCGGCAATAGCTGTTCATATCTCATTATCTTCCCTGAACCTGATTATTAGCTCTGATTCTTCTGATCGCTAGCTGCTGTTCGCGATGCGTTGTGTGCCATTAATGCCAGCTGGTTCCCTTAAACAGGACCCGCCATGCCAGAGAAAACGGGCTGGCATTCCGAGCCTCCAGCCACTTGGCTTTTTAATTTTAATGGGCTCCACCAAATGTTCCAGGTCAAAGGACCCCGAGAAACAAGAACAGACGGGCTTCAGTCCCCCAAACTGCAGCCCTCCCAGGGATCCTTCCCAGGCTGTCCCTGTCCCTGTCCAAGGTCCTAGGGGCATGATGGCTGAGCGTTGAGTGGGTGACAGTAAGTGGCCGTTTGCCTTCTCTGTGTCTTTGGCACATACCCCAGGCCTATTGCTAGTGGGTGGGTGAGGCAGCCATATTACCTCCTAGTGAGCTCCCAACTCTGCATGGACCTTCTCTCCGCTTTGTGGCTCCCAGATCCCTCTTGGGTATGTTGGCTTACTTTCAGATAGATATGTGTTTCGTGCTAAATTTCATTCCAGACATGCGGGACATGCTAGCTTTATTTCACTTTTGTTTTTTACACTTTAATATTTTTGTTCTTTCAAGACATGCTTTCATGTAGCCCAAGATGGCCTTAAAGCAGCTGAAGGTGACCTTGAACTCCTGATCCTCCAACCCCTACCTCCTAAGGGCTAGGATTACAGGTGTGTGCCACCACACCTGGTTTAGTCAATGCTGGGGATTGAACCCAGATCCTTGAGCATGTCCTCAACCAACTGAGCCATAGTCCTGGTCAAAGAGGCCTGCTAGGGCTTCACTCCACCTTTTAAAAAAAAAAAAGACTCACATGAAAACATTTTAATTTCATTTCATTTTTATTTGTTCATTTATGTTTTTAGACACGATCTCACCAAGTAGCCCTGGCTGGCCTAGAATTCACTATGTAGACCAGACTGGAATCAAATTCACAAAGATCTGCCTGTCTCTGCTTCTAGAATGTTGGTATTAAAGGTGTGTGTCACCATGCCTGGTGAATTTTGTTTTTAATCTTTAACCGTGTGTGTGTGTGTGTGTGTGTGTGTGTGTGCACATGCACGTGCACATGAGTTCAGAGGACTGTGGAGGCCAGAAGAGATCCTTGGAAGACGGCGGTAGAGGCGGCTGTGAGGAGCCCGATTTGGGTGCTAGGAACTGAACTGTCAAAGCAGTCTGTGTCCTTGCCTGCTGAGCCACCTCTCCAGCCCCTAAAGCGCTCTTCTAAACTTCATGCAGCATACAGGAACAGCACGTGACAGAAGCTCCATGACATAAAACCTTCAGTGTCATTAGCTACATGTCTGATGGCAACCTTGGTTCTGCAAGGCCTTCAGGGAGATACCAGGTGGGGTGATGACAAAGCCATCTTGCTCCTTCTCTGGTTATGTCCTTCCTCAAGCTGGACATGCAACACCTGGAGACCCCTCTGTTGGAACAGGCCTTACTTAGCCTGGCACCTCCACAGCGTTCCCTCCACCCCAGGGAAGGCTGTCTAACTCTGCCTCACCTTTGCCCAGGTGTCCTTCTCTGCTACCAGCTGCAAGGTGCCTATCTATACATTTGACTCCAGTCTGGTCTACATAGTGAGCTCTAGGCCAGTCAGGGCTAATTGTGGTGAGATCGTGTCTAAAAACATAAATGAACAAATAAAAATGAAATGAAATTAAAATGTTTTCATGTGAGTCTTTTCTTTTTAAAAGGTGGAGTGAAGCCCTAGCAGGCCTCTTTGACCAGGACTATGGCTCAGTTGGTAGAGGACTTTCCTAATATGCTTGAAGATCTTGGTTCAGTCCCCAGCACTGACTAAACCAGTATAGTGGCACACCTGAAGAGACTTCTGGATCTTCCTGGACAGGAGCTGCTCAAGGCCCACAGGGAAGCCACCCAAGCCTCAGCTATTTGTCCTGTTCCCAGGCATCTTGACTGTAGCTCTTCTGTGTCTGCTCATATCCACCCCTGTGACCTCACTCCTCACTGACTTGTAGGCTTCTCTCATGAACCAGTTCTCCCCACGCCCAGGGCCTCTGAGCACTGTTCCTGTCAGGCCTCACTTTCAACCTAAATATCAGACCGCCTCTCTGCCTCAAGGTGCTTCCCTCACAGTTTCTGGAAGAGCCTGGAACTGGAACTTTATTTGGGGTATTTGTTTGTGTGTGTGTGTGTGTGTGTGTGTGTGTGTGTGTGTGC